AACAACAACAGATGAACGTGAGCGACTTGGGAGCAGCAGAAAAAGAGGTGATGGCAATGAGATGCAACTGTGCAGACTGCCGAAGGGACAAAGTGCGAGAGCAAGGTCACATTTCAGAAGCTATCACAGAGCAAAGGGACTGGCATTGGACGATGTCTGCACCCCTGCCTCAAGAAGCTAAACCTTCCAAAAATCAAGCAGTCCTCACCTCCTGTGCACTGCTGATGCCGATGAGCTGGAACAGGAGGAAGCCCCTGGGGCTGGCATGGTCTCCGTGCTGCCTCAGGTACTCGAGCAGGCCCAATGCGAAGGCCAGCAGGATGCGTGAGATGAACTTCTTCATGTCGTGGAGCCGCTGGTCACGAAATTCTTTTAGGCGAGGAATGTCACCCTCAATGGCCTCATATCGCAGCCCATACTTCTCACGGAGTCGATCGATCGCCTCCCGAAGGATGTTCGTGCCGGGCTCCTTCTCTGTGGAAAAACTCAGGTAAAAGCTGTACTCGTGGCAGGATGCCTCAAGCGCCGTGCGGGACTTCCCGCCACCTGAAGGCGCGATGAGCGCAGTTGCGCGGGTCTGCACCTGGCCCTGGCCCTTCCCCGATGCATGCAGCTGCTTATTCTGCCAGCAGCGTCTGTGCGTTCGTAAGGCCATCCTCGTTGCGTCCGGGAAGTTTCGTAAGCAGCAGGCTGGGCGACTCCCGGAAGAAAACGACAGAAACATCTCTCCTCGCACAGAGGTTGCTAGAGGGTGGGGGCCTCAGGTCAAGCTCCGGCTGCCCGTTCTTCTCTGGGGAAACAAAAGCACGCTCCAGGATCTTGCTGACTTCCTCATCGACGCTGTCGTCCCAGTCGTCATCATTGCTCCTCCCTGCGCAATTCAAAAGACACGAACCTTTGGACCCTGTTTGATGAGGCCCAAGGATGCAAGCAGACCTGAGCTGGCAGGGATCAATTGAAGAAAAGACTTATCATTTCAGCGATGTCTTCAAGTCCATTTTGAAGCGAACAGTCTCCCTGGAAAAATTGGGGAGAGAAACGTGTGGCACCCATGTCACCAGCTGAACCGCAAGGGCAACAGGCGAGAGGCAAATAGATAGCACAGCCGCACTGCAACAACTCACGTCTGTCTCGGGACGGGCCTGCAGCTGCCCCAGTCTGCCTCGTTCCAGCGGCTGCACGAGAAGGGGGAGCAGATCAGTGACTTGCTATCACTCCAATGTCATGCCCAATGCTTGTCAGAACTGGCTCCCCCAAAAGGTCTCATGCATATGGAGTGGTGAGCGGCTGCAGAGAGTGGAGCTTTCAAGCAAACCTTTTAGCGACTGTAAACCTTTCCTCGGGATGCACATGCAGATGTGTAAGCCTGAAAGACCAGAAAGGCCACTCACTCCGACCAGCATCGGCATCTGGCATCTCTGTGTCCCCAGAAGGGCCAGCGCCCTCATTCCCTTGCGTCCGTGCAAAAACTAGTACAAAAGAACCAGGTGTTAGCAAAGACGTGCTGTCTCTAGACATGACAGCAAGGCTCCCTCAGAGGACAGGGCACAATTGCAACAACCAGCTGCATACAGCAGAACCTTAGATCTGCTCGAAAAAAGCCGGTGAACCAACCCCCGAAAGCAGAGGACCATGCTCCCAGTGAAACCAACGCTCCGGAGGGGTGGTGTACAACACCACGTCTCAGAAAGCTCGGGCACTCTGCCCAATTGCAGGCATGCGCAAATGCGATTGCACAGGTGAACCGTAAAACGAATGTTGTCCTGAGGAATAAAACCTCTGACTGCCGTGGTGCGAACCATGGCACCTAGCACGAACCAGAAGCTCCATCACTCTGCTCGACTGAAGGCAACGCTTGTATGCACATATCTGACTTTTTAAAGAACATCACTAAATGCTGCTCCAAAATCCAAAGCAATCTTACACTACCTTCAACACCAGACAGCATAGCAAGAGGCACATCCAATCTGCTGGCTGGAGCCGCTCCTCCCTGTCCCAGACTGATGCACTCACCTGCCTGCTGCTTCGCACAATCCTCTAAGGCCACTGCACACAAGAGTAAACATGCTTGAAAAAAAGACACATACCTGCAGACCACAGCTGGGCCTTTTCGTCCCGCAGCTGCTCTTTTTCCTTGCGCAGCTGCTCTCTTTCCTTGCGCAGCTGCTCTCTTTCCTTGTCCCATCGCTGCACCTCACTCACACTGCCAGCCGCTTGCGCATGATTGATCTTCTCTTTTGCTTCCTTAATCTCTGTTGAAAGAGCATCGATCTCTTCGTTCACCTTCACAATTTGCAGCTCAACAGCCTGGATAGCATCCATTTTGATCGTCTCTACCTTAAATCACCTTCTCTTTTTAGGACGAGCCAGGCAGCATCGGGAAGGCAACATGCAAAGAGGAGAGGAGAGTGCTGATATCCAGCCCTGTGATGACTGTATTGCAAAGAAAACCTTGCAGACGCGGAGATTGCTTGCGCCTGAGGTGGTCCTTGAATGACGAGGACTCGTCGACACGACAGGTGCCGAGACTCTCTGACCCGTGCTTAGCAGGACCACAGGAGACAGGAAGCACAGTCCTTCTCGTGTTTGATCGGTGCTCAAGCACTCCATGCACCAGATGCGTTTCGAACATAGCTTCACCGCCTAGTTGCGCGCGCTACTGGCGATTCCTTGTTCGGACGGCAAATTAACCGTGACTTCTAGCCCGCTACGATGGTCAAGCGGCCGGTTCGGTGGTGACCTACAGGCTTTCGGGGCGACCTAGGTGCGGCGCGGCAGCGAGTCTCGCCGGAAAGGGGGGATACGTGGCGCTGTTTGGTTGATCCATTTTATGCTGTTTCAACAGTTGGTTAGTTGGGTGACGATCATTACGCGGGACGTTACCGTACCACTGACCAGCAGCATGTCTCTCTCTTCTGAAAGTCAAACCTCTCTAGTTTTGCCTCGGACCCCGAGGCCTAGGGGGATCCCTGACCACAAGTTTACCAACAGTGCACACGATATATCAAACGCTTCAGCTAACGACGCGTCGCAACCTCGCACCTTTCCGGTTTTCGAGGCGAACTGTAAACTCTTGCGGCGTCCACTGTTGTTGGGACTCGACTTTCGGAAAAGCTCCTTCCTCCCTATAGGTCGCCAAAATGGAAGCGTTCCGGTGACAAAAGGTCCGATACAT